CAGCCTGGAAGTACTTACCGGAGGTACTGGAGGAACAGCCTGGAAGTACTTACCGGAGGTACTGGAGGAACAGCCTGAAAGTACCAACCGGAGATACTGGAGGAACAGCCTGAAAGTACCTACCCGAGGTACTGGAGGAACAGCCTGGAAGTACTTACCGGAGGTACTGGAGGAACATCCACAGCTTCCTGCTGATAATTTAATGTCGTCGATAGCAATATCTCCACGAAAACCAGTGCCTACAACGCCCTCTATGTATAGGTTGTACTCATAACTCAGCGGAAGGATTTTTGAACAACTCTGTTGCCATATGTCACCCTTGTCGCCAACGTAAGAAATGATGTTCGATTTAACACCTTGGCAATCCTACAATAAAAATACAGCATCAGGATCAGAAATGAATAATAGAAAAAATAAGTTGTAATGTTGTTTATTATTCGAAATGAAAAATAGCTACCAATTTCACTTTCCGACATTGGAAAACCAATGTAATTTCTTATAGAAATTTTAAAATATTATTTAAGTAAGTAGACGTAAATGCTATACGTTTAAAAGGTGTCACATAAAGGTATGCCTCCTACATGTTGTCACTTCCACAGTTCGGGGATCGAGAAAAAAACAACCTGCAGAATTTGTGATTTGCTATTGTGCCTTGTACATTGGAACAAAAACAAGACCAAAATAAATCTTCCTCTAACTTCCACCCCGACCCGCAGGGTTGTAGCGTGCCAATATGTGAAAACAACCCAATGGGTTCCTGTTCCATGGTAATACATGTTAATGGACAGGTATCTTCAAATCTTGTTTATGATGAACAACTAGCTATAATGAACTAAATGGTTAGACATGTACGAGTTTTCTCTTAACATAAAATGTCATTAAAAATCTGATATGTTTTATATAAATACTTATCTTCTAATGGTACAATTACGTTTGCTTTAACAAAAACACATTAATAAAAAGGACATCTAATAATCACTGTTTTGAAGACTGTGTCATTAAGCTTCCGTGTGATCCAATAATTTACTTTCAGCTGAATATGTCAAAAAGATTATCACCATCAAACTGGCAAATAACATCCAACCAAATGACTAGAACTAAACAAGACTGATGAAGACATTTGTGAGAGGAGGAGCATCTTCTAACTGCTATAACAAACATGACATATTGAACCACATATGAGAAAGAGGTAGAAGTAAACATGAGAGAAGAGGCAGTAACGTGTAACACCTATTCCATGTAATGGTTGACTCGAAACAGCTTGTTTCAATGGCATTTTACAGATAGCTGCTCTATGCAATTACAAAGTCCGCATCCAATATTTGGGATCAAGCTGTAACATATTTGTCTGATGTTACAGAGGTACTAGTCACTTCGTTTGATGGAGGGACCAATATTCTGTCACATGATAAGATACTAATGATGTTTACATACAGAATGTACATATGTAAGCCTTTCTTTAATTCTATTTACTGTTAATCTCCTGCATAAGGAGGATAAATAAAATTGCAACTTTACAGTAGAAACAGAACCGTAATGAGATTCAAACTCATGACCGCCGAACTCATGACATCCAATCAATCTGACAATACTTGTGTATTGCCCAATCCAGCAATAATCATATTCCAAACGAAATTCAGGAGAGATCATTCAAGAACAGAATACACTGAGTACTCTTGTGTTTTGCTGTGACATGACAGGGATCCAGACGGCTGATGGTGTCACTGCGATAATGACATTTGTTCAATTGAAAATTGGGTTGTAAAGTAAGCAAATATTTATGACCATCAATAATCAGGAGGTAAACTTGACCAACTCGCAAACTTATCATTGGAACACATATAACACAACAGCTTTAATCGTTTTATGAATGAAAGTACCGATATGGAGTGACTGATACCGTACCACGCTGGATACAGTCTGATCTGAGTGAAAGACGAAAGTCTGCTGCCATCGGATCAACCACCTCACATGACAAAGTGATAGATTTCGGGGATCCTCAGGGGTCGGTGTTAGGACCCCGAAAATACTGTTTGTACTCCAAACCGATTGGAGAGATTTGTCGTCGCCATAGTCTTCACTATCACTGCTATACTGATGACACACAAATTTACATTATAATCAAATCACAGTACAGTTGGGATACAGTTTCAGAAAATTTTGAAGCTTGTCCGACAGATATCAGTATCTGGATGAACGCCAACATGCTTAATCAGGAAAACCTGTGCTATATTTATTGCACTGGTTACCTGTACGATACAGGTCGCAGCACAAAATGTAGGTGTACACATACAAGGCACTAATTGGAACAGCTCATCTGTACCTACAGGAGCTTGTTACCCTGTATCAGCCGTCACGATCACGGCGGTCGGAGTCAGAATCTTTGTTGTGTGTCACAAAATCTCGTACTGTGACCTACGGAAACAGATGCTTTGGGAGGGTTTCGGCTACGTTGTGGAATAGCTTACCATATGCTTTTAGAAAGTCAAATACCCTGGCCAAATTCAAGAGGGACATCAAAACTCACCTTTTCACGTCTGCATTTAAGATTCTCTGCAAAGACGTAATGTAAACACCACCCTTTATTTGTTCAATTATGTGCACATTGCTTGCTTAAATGTATAAAAGTGATTGTAAACCTTTGTTTATGTTTCACAATCATAACTATTTCTATTATGCATATGATGTAAAGCGCTTCAGATTAATTTTACAAATTAAATAGGGCGCTATATAAATGTTGTATATTATTGTTATTTATTTGTATATGAACTTTAGTTGCTTTTGAAATTACCTGTGTGTAAATCAAAAGATCAGGGTTGGGAAAATGCTAAATTATGAAAAATTGACCAGAAATATCAGAATTGAACAGGAAATCTCATCGAGCACCAAAGTTACCATAAACATAAGATTGAACAGAAATTCTGATGGACACACCTGAATGTTTTCAATGAAATGTACATTTATACATCTCAAGTGAATAGACCATGAAGAACGAATGAAAAATATACTGTTAATAGAAAAAGTAGAACAGTTTGACCTTTATATTTTGATGGAATATTGAGAAATCCTCCAATACGTAATTGTTGGTGTTTTCAGGGCCCTATAGAAAGAAGCCAATAAGGATAAGTATATTATTTTTGTCTTTTTCTTTTTGGTGATAATGCTCAAACATAAAAAAATCGGACTTGTGATAATGATCCTCTCATATATTGACCATCCACGCTAACCTTAACTTCAGTGAATATGTACCAATGTTAGCGCCAGTTACTTTGGTGTAGATGTACCAGTGTTAGCGCCAGTTACTTTGGTGTAGATGTACCAGTGTGTACCAGTGTTAGCGCCCCTTACTTTGGTGTAGATGTACCAGTGTTAGCGCCCCTTACTTTGGTGTAGATGTACCAGTGTTATCGCCCCTTACTCTGGTGTAGATATACCAGTGTTACCTCCCCTTACTTTGGTGTAGATGTATCAGTGTTAGCGCCAGTTACTTTGGTGTGGATGTACCAGTGTTAGCGCCCCTTACTTTGGTGTAGATGTACCAGTGTTAGCGCCCCTTATTTTGGTGTAGATGTACCAGTGTTACCTCCCCTTACTCTGGTGTAGATGTATCAGTGTTAGCGCCCCTTACTTTGGTGAAGATGAACCAGTGTTAAAGTTCCTTACTTTGGTGTAGGTATACCAGTGTTACTTCCCCTTACTGTGATGTAGATGTACCAGTACTAGCCCCCCTCACTTTGTTGTAAATGTACCAGTGTTAGCGCCTCTTACTTTGATGTCGATGTACAAATGTTATCGCCCCTTACTTTGGTGTGGATGTTCCAGTGTTAGCGCCCCTTATTTTGGTGTAGATGTACCAGTGTTACCTCCCCTTGATTTGGTGTTGATGTTCCAGTGTTACTTCCCCTTAATTTGGTGTAAATCAACAAGACACTAGTCACCTCCTACCTTAGTGTAAACGTTCAGACCACCAATCTCCAATCCATTCATGTTGTACCAGAACTTCAGACAGACATCATTCAGTGCTGGGAGGGTAGGCGACATGAGGACCACTGTAGCGTTAGGGGCTTTACCGGACGCCTCCAGGTATAGGTATAAACCATTGCCTATATAATATGTAGATAGATAGCAATAATGAATCATGATATAATTACACACCAATGCCTCCATGTAGAGCATAAACCCACAATACACCTTTGCACATACCGTCAATATAATGTGAATATTTAACGATTTCCTGTCGAATAGCATATCCTATAGCTTTTCAAATGAAAAATACAGGAACTATCACGCTTAATGAAAACTTGCATCAGCTGCATTTACTGCATCATTTCATTTCATTTTCGCCAATGAGATATTGACTCCTAACAACATCATAAAACAAATCGTTTTACACTAGGACAAATGGAAATCAGAAGTGAGATTTGCCACGCGGAAAAACTATCACTTTTGGTATTGTTCAATCAAAAGTGTTCTTCTACTGTACAACATTCAATATTCGTGGATATTTATTTTCGTTGTTTGAAGCCGTCTAGATCGTTTCTTAGTACACTCGTTCGCATATACACCCATATAAACAAACAGTACCATAGCAACCCCAAACGGACGAATGTCATAACACAGTAAACAGTGAGACACCTAAAAGGCAATGATATATGTTGTTCTTTATTTAAGGGGGGAGGGTGCATATATTGGCTGCATGCATTCAAATATGTTTCTTACAATGCCATTTCTAACATTTCGTACACTTATCTCTTACCAAATATTAGCGGAATAGTAGCAGAAACCGGTAAATTTTGAGTTGGAAATTAAATACGAGGCGCAGCTTTGTTGTGAAGCACGATGTCATCATCTGTGTTGATGCATTCTCATTTCTTGCTCGCAACAGATACAAAAGTTATTATTGATCTTATTATTTGTTGTTGTTGTTGTTGTTGAATACAGAATACGTATTTTACTTGTGAAGTGGTATTCAAGGGAACCATTCCCTCTCCCCTATATCCTCACTAGTAAAGATATCACTTCCAGCACTTGTCAATCACAATAGGACGTTCTGTTTACTGTTCCGGATACGGAGTAAGCGACGGTAGCGTTTATTAGTATATCTCTGCTGTATAGGATTTTCCATTAGAACAAAATTACCCGATCGAGTTTCCAATCGGTACGTAGAACCAATTTAAAATGCAATTAGTCTTGATGTTAAACGTGACACCAATTAAAAAAAAATGACGTCAAATGTTACGCTACTATTTCCCGCACTTCGTTTCATGCAGCAATATTATCATCGTTTTTGTTTCAAAATGTAACAAATACTAAATAAAGTGGGTTTTGGCGTTGGCCACCATGTACATGTACAAGGAGGCAATTGTGTCACCATACCCTGCCTCCGGCACTCACACACAACCACGCATACACAACACACATGGTGGCACGTCCTACAGTGACACAACACACATGGTGGCACGTCCTACAGTGACACAACACGCATGGGGGCACTTCCTACAGTGACACAACACCCATGGTGGCACGTCCTACAGTGACACAACACCCATGGGGGCACGTCCTACAGTGACACAACACACATTGGGGCACGTCCTACAGTGACACAACACCCATGGGGCACGTCCTACAGTGACACAACACACAACACACATGGGGGCACGTCCTACAGTAACACAACCCACATGGTGGCACGTCCTACAGTGACACAACACGCATGGGGGCACGTCCTACAGTGACACAACACCCATGGGGGCACGTCCTACAGTGACACAACACACAACACACATGGGGGCACGTCCTACAGTCACACACCACACATGGGGTACGTCCTACAGTGACACAACACACATGGGGGCCCTGCCTACAGTGACACAACACACATGGTGGCACGTCCCACAGTGACACAACACACATGGGGGCACGTCCTACAGGGACACAACACACATGGGGGCACGTCCTACAGTAACACAACCCACATGGTGGCACGTCCTACAGTGACACAACACCCATGGGGCACGTCCTACAGTGACACAACACACATTGGGGCACGTCCTACAGTGACACAACACCCATGGGGGCACGTCCTACAGTGACACAACACCCATGGGGGCACGTCCTACAGTGACACAACACCCATGGGGCACGTCCTACAGTGACACAACACACATGAGGCACGTCCTACAGTGACACAACACACATGGGGACACGTCCTACAGTGACACAACACACATGGGGTACGTCCTACGGTGACACAACACACATGGGGGCACGTCCTACAGGGACACAACACACATGGTGGCACGTCCTACAGTGACACAACACCCATGGGGCACGTCCTACAGTGACACAACACACAAGGGGGCACGTCCTACAGTTACACAACACACATGGGGCACGTCCTACAGTGGCACAACACACATTGGGGCACGTCCGACAGTGACACAACACACATGGGGGAACGTCCTACAGTGACACAACACACATGGGGGCCCTGCCTACAGTGACACAACACACATGGTGGCACGTCCCACAGTGACACAACACACATGGGGCACGTCCTACGGTGACACAACACACATGGGGGCACGTCCTACAGGGACACAACACACATGGTGGCACGTCCTACAGTGACGCAACACACATGGGGGCACGTCCTACAGTGACCCAACACACATGGGGGCACGTCATACAGTGACACAACACACATGGGGGCACGTCATACAGTGACACAACACACATGGGGGCACGTCCTACAGTGACACAACACACATGGGGGCACGTCATACAGTGACCTAAGCTGTTGATAGGACGTTGAACAAATGAAGCCAAACTTAACCAATCAATAGAGAGAATAAGGAACGTATCTAAGAAAGACATAATGACTATAAAAAGTTAAGAGTGTATCGTTCCAAGGATTATCTAGGGTCAATAGTTTTATTTCGAAGCTTACAACCAAATGTATTCCCAAAGTCAGCCTAATACCAAGTTCACGTGGACCCGTGCGCCAATAAGGAATGACACCGTGTTCTGATGGTAAAGACTTTATGAAACACAACGCACAATAATCACATGTTACAACAAAATGGAATCAAGCCGGAAAAGGAAGTGCCCAGCATGGGGCCGCATTTCAGTCAGTGGCGAGGCCGCTTGATATAAGAGAAAGAAAATAACGTACTGGCGTGATTGTCTTTATCTCTAATATGTCCTTTTGAGATAATAACTAATCCTATATTAATGGCAAAGTATGAAAACGAAGAAGGTGAACACTCAATACAGGGTGCAGTGTCCCTGTCCCTTAACCTGTCCTTTGCAAAAAACATGTCTATACATGTACTTATAACACACAAAGTAGGTCAGTAAATGATAATAGTATTGAAAAAAAGTCACAGTTCACACAACGGTTTCATCAGCTGAGGTCCCAATCCTCGTTTTGTCAATAAGGAATAGTACGAGAGCGGGTCGATCGACGAAGTGGAGACTCTGGCACACTTTGCGGAACAGAAGTCATCGGATCAGCCGTATCGGGAACGGAGATGATAGCATCAGGTACAGGAGGCTGTGCAGGCGCGGGAGGCTGAGTCAACACAAGAGGTACTGGCAAGACCGGTTGCAGGTGTAGCGGCTGATGAGAAGTAACTGTAGGGGGCATTTGAGGAGGACACGACAGGTGACCAAATGTCAGAGCAGGGACTGGGGGAATTAAGCCACACGGGTCATCGTCAGAGTCAGAGTCAAAAGTTTTATCTGATACTTGACCTCTGATGGGTCCCTGAGGCGACTGCACAAGAAGTGTTGGTAGTACTGGGTAACACTGCGACATGGGTATGGTGTACATCTTACTACGGTACTGCATGCGAACTGGTAAACTTCCGTAGCTGGCACGTATGATCATTGACAAAGTGAACGACAAGATATTTTTCGCGTACTTTGGTTTTGTTCTTATCACACATGAGAAAGACTAAGTCGCCGACGGAAATACTACTATGGCGTATTTTCATGGTCCCACCGGCTTTGCTTTTGGCACTAGGTACCTTGGTCTGTTCGCGAGACAAACTCTGTATGTGGATGATCCGCCGATCGATGATAGGTAACTGCTCTCCAGTAAGCTGGTCTCTTTTAGTCCAGAGTTCGCGAGAATAGAGACCATCACGCCGAATCCGCGAATTCATCTGAGCAGTGGCGAGGGCTAAAGTGACTGCCGAGACAGTGCCTCCCTCTGGGGATAGGTGAAGAATATCCAACCCAAGTTCCTCTACTGCACGCTCCGCGACTGGGCTCTTATTGGTGTTCTTCACTCTTCCAATCTCAAGGTGAATGCCATGGGAGAGACGAATTTTGTCTTTCTGGAGGGCACAGAAGCCAGGAGCTTGATAAACACGAATGGTAATGCCACCGTCGCATAATGAGCGTAGCTCCGCGAACATAATCAGGAGAACGTTTCGAAGATCCTCATGCTTCTCGCTAGGGATCAATGAGGTTAATGTGTATGATGACACAGTCTCTCTCAAAACTAAAATGTATTGACGGTAACGACGCATCACGTCCGCAGCAAATGTCACTCCGATTGAGGTGGGTGCCTCAACGGAAGACTGAGGCTGAAAGTGCTTTGTAAAAGGCTTTACAGGCTGACAGAAATGGCAGGCAGAAGACACAGATGTATTGGCCTTGTCAACATCCAGGGCAAAGAAGTACCTATTGAAAAGGCGCTTAGTCTGATACTTTGACGGGTGGCTGAATCGGATATGCAAGGCTGTCAATAACCCGTCAAGGGCCGTGCGTGAAACAACAACACGTTCGCATGTAGGTTGGAACGGTTGAGAGTCTCTAACGACAAGAAGGTCATCGGAAGCTTTAACAACGTCCCTGAGGTAGCGCTTGACATCAGGGATCTTGGTGGCCTTCTTAGAAGGACGAGTACGTTGTCTGAGTTGAGAGTGAACGCGTCGTAAGTCTGGACACTCATGTTGCGTTGCGAGCCATGCGGCGCGGATGGTAAACGGCATGTGGATTGTCAGTTCAAGAACATCATTCACAGATACATCGCGGACGACAGAATCTTCCATTTCTGCTATAAACTTGCAAACCTGACATGAAGAGTCGAGACATTCGATGGGGTTCCTGCTGGCAAAGTCGGATGGGAGATTTGTGATTCCTGCGATATGGTGGTGTATAGCATAACGACTGACGATCTATAGGAAGGAAGTCACCCTCGAACTTGCAGAGAACTCGCCCCGCTGCAGCTTTTCATAAGCCTTGACACATGGTCTGCTGTCCGTCAGAACCTGAGTAGTTCCCGAGGCTTTGATGATGTAGGGAGAAAAATGTATTATGGCAGCTCCAATGTCCAAGACCTCTATCTCGCAGGGTAGCCATAATACTTGATGCTTCCGTAATTTGGAATTGAAGAAGCCGGCCAACAGAAGTTTGCCGTTCCTGAGGATGTAGAGAGTGGCTCCTATTCCTCTGCTTTTGACAGAGCCGTCAGTCACGATCCATAGCGAGTCACCAGGCTGAGGTAGATCTATGACCTTGTTACTGCCCAAGGCATGTTTAGCGCGTTTGAAAGAGTTAATGAGGTCATCTGACCATACTACTTTCTCCCTCGATTCTTTTCTAGCTCTAGCCTTATCTAACGGGTCGAGGAGGTCTGCATATCTGGGTAACACGCGACTGAGTACTTTGTATGCGCCCATAAATGAGCGTAGGCCCTGTACAGTAGCAGGGGGTTCAGTAGTTGATAAAGCCGCCACTTTGTGAGGGATAGCCTGTAGAGTACCATTGGACCAAATCCAACCTAGGACAACCGCCCTTTTCGGGCAAACTACAGTCTTGGACGCTGACAAACGAAGGGTGTTCTTTTGTAGTAAGAGAAGGACACGTCGCCAATTGAGAAGAATCTCTTCATGGGTCTGGCCACCGATGTACAAGTCGTCAGCAATTTTGGCAACACAGCCTTCCTGGATGAGATTACCAAGGATCCGGACATGAGCTCTTCGAGACAGGTTTCAGATCCTGGCATGCCCATGGCGGAACGAGTGTACACACGTATACCCTTGAATGGAGTAGCGACGCCGCAGTACTTCATGGATGACGTTGCCAAAGGAATGTGGTAAAAGGCCTTAGCTAAGTCAGTAATGATCAAATGGTTCCATTTACCAATTTCGCGCAAAACACCATCAACGTTGGGCATTAGCGAAGGTTGGGGCTTGCTGTACTGAGCAACCTCACCAAATTAAGTAACAAGTCTGGTTCCATCGTTGGGTTTCCGTACCAGAAAGGAGGTGTTGAGATATTCAACCTGGACATTGACCTGCTCAGGATTAGCGAAGACACCCATTGACTCCAAACCATCAAACTTTGCCTGTACCTCCTCCATGGTGCCCCTGTTGTATTGGGGAAGTCGTCCTTTACGCTGAGGAGGGAGAGTTGGACTCATATTCACAACAGCTTCGATAGGTCCACTCGCGCCGTTAAACTTGGAAATGGAGGGGTTGAAAACATCATCAAACTCGGTGTGGAGTGACTTGAATCTATTGCGGGTGGTTGAGTCTAAACAGGAGTCGGGGTCAACGACGACATCACGTGAAAAGGGTTTTGCATTGGCTGACAGACTGAGCGATGCTGTCTATGACATTATTTTCTTCCTCGTGACAGGATTCGGCATCACCCTCGGTCACAAGACGCGAGCGACTTATGGACTTCCTGTCACGTTCAGAAAGGAAGCGACAATTTATGAGATCATGTGTGGTATAGGGTCGGTTGGCTGTTTTGCATAAGATGCATGACAATGCGGGTCTCTGTCGTGATCTGTCCTTACTCTTGAAACTGTACCCCTTTGAGAATGTGTTGCTGACACGCATAGCCTTGGTATCCTCTATACAGCGGAGCTCATCGAGGAGATAATTGAGGGCCTGAGAAATTTCAGGCTTTAAGGAGGCGAGTGACTTGTTACGAAGCTTAGAACCATATTTCTGCTTCACAAGAATGGGTAGGCCTGGATGAACGAATTGGTGCCATGTGACAACAATGGTGTTATCCAGAGTGGGAGTAAGGTCCTCGTCTACCTCAACAGCTTCACCGCAGTTGGCAGAAATTAAATTGTCCTAAAATGATGCTGTAAGCCGTTGGAACAGATCCTTAGGTCTTTCGTCTGGCTGTAAAGATATCCTCTACAAATCTAGAAAGTGAGCACCGGTGGACAGGAAGCCGTAATGTCGTCTGATTTTTTTGCCAGATAACATATAAGGAAAGTGAGCATTTTACTATGGAGGTTCTTGAGATGACGGGGCAAAAATGGGCAATCTGCCCCAACATTAGGTCTAGGTGGGCATTTTTCTGAGCGGCGGTCAATCGCTGGTCTGCCGGGATGGGGTCGTTATCATTAGTGAAACCCCTATGGAGGTTTGTAGCGGTTTTCTTTTGCCATGTTGCCTCCAGGAAAGGAACAAAATTCTTGTCCAGTGAAAGAATATACACAAGGTTCTGTCGCCAACCTTCATACGATGTTATTGTCTCATGTTTTGTTAATTGCCATTGTTTGGGGGGTCTCGGGGCAGCCATATCGCTATATCACACTGAATGGTATTGAGATGCTCAGGATACATATATCAGTGTACATTGATTCTGTCATCACAAGAAACATGTATCAGTGTACGGTGATTATGTGGTCACATGATACATGTATCAGTGTACGGTGATTATGTGGTCACATGATACATGTATAAGTGTACATTGATTCTGTCATCACAAGATTCATGTATCAGTGTACATTGATTCTGTCATCACATGATACATGTATCAGTGTACGGTGATTATGCAGTCACATGATACATGTATCAGTGTACGGTGATTATGCAGTCACATGATACATGTATCAGTGTACGGTGAATATGTGGTCACATGATACATGTATCAGGGTACGGTGAGTATGTGGTCACATGATACATGTATCAGTGTACGGTGATTATGTGGTCACATGATACATGTATTAGTGTACGGTGATTATGTGGTCACATGATACATGTATCAGTGTAGGGTGATTATGCAGTCACATGATACATGTATCAGTGTACGGTGATTATGCAGTCACATGATACATGTATCAGTGTACGGTGATTATGCAGTCACATGATACATGTATCAGTGTACGGTGAATATGTGGTCACATGATACATGTATCAGGGTACGGTGAGTATGTGGTCACATGATACATGTATCAGTGTACGGTGAATATGTGGTCACATGATACATGTATCAGGGTACGGAGAGTATGTGGTCACATGATACATGTATCAGTGTAGGGTGATTATGCAGTCACATGATACATGTATCAGTGTACGGTGATTATGCAGTCACATGATACATGTATCAGTGTACGGTGATTATGCAGTCACATGATACATGTATCAGTGTACGGTGATTATGCAGTCACATGATACATGTATCAGTGTACGGTGAATATGTGGTCACATGATACATGTATCAGGGTACGGAGAGTATGTGGTCACATGATACATGTATCAGTGTACATTGATTCTGTCATCACATGATACATGTATCAGTGTACATTGATTCTGATATCACAAGATACATGTATCAGTGTACATTGATTCTGTCATCACATGATACATGTATCAGTGGACGGTGATTATGTCACATGATACATGTATTAGTGTACGGTGATTATGTGGTCACATGATACAAGTATACTTACAGTGATTCAGACCATTCCGAACATGCAGTTACCTCAACAAAACGAGCCATTACTCAGGGGAAATTAATTCCATTTTATTCGATACCCAATATCTATGCTTTATCTTGTAGTACCATACCGAGACACACAGGACCATTTACAGCTTAAACACTGGCTATATCATTATAGTAGTATTATCTAGGTATGAAATAAAACCTAAAATGTTTGGCTGACAAAAATGTAATAAATATAGTTTTCAAAGAACGATATCTCGTACATGTATCTAATAAATCACCTCATCCAGACGAAATATTTTCCCCGGACATCGGTGACTTACTTGTGCCCTTTGTGTGGTCGTTGCTCGGCCCCGTGTTGCTCGAGGCTGTGTTCCCGGAGTGGAATTGCCACGTGTCCGCCGCGTTGGAGGTATCAGACGCCCACCCACACATGTCACGGTGATCCAAATCACAATTAAGGTTTCCTGTCAACCAATCATCGAAGAGATACATATCAACCTAATACAGACTTTATTGCACGTTATAACGACTAATCACAAACATGTTGCATGGCAAACAATCGCAGACGGCAAACAATCGCAGACAATACCTGTCAACTTTTTTACGTCATTTCTCAATGCAATTACCAACATAGTGGTGCTTCTCCACGACTTCCACCTATTCAACATAATCTCAAACTCGTCCCCATTCTGTCTTTAAAAATTGACGAAGCTTGACTCATACGAGATGTTCTATACAGGTCGCTAAATCAGCCTTCAAACATTCGAGTACATTCAACATTACATTACATAATTGATTACCATTTATCTTCAATATAAAATCCCTGGTAGTGTTTCCTGCTCCGTTAGTCGCTGTACACGTGTATTTCCCTCCATCACCAAACGTGATAGGGTTTAGTGTATGAGAGTTCCCAGTGGCTATAAGGGTCTGACAGGAAGTCGGTTTGGACCAGGTAATAGTGGGATCTGGATTACCGCTCGCATTACATGTCAAAACTTGTTGTGATGCTATGGGCGTGGTCAGTGTGACGTTTGGGGACCCGGCGATGACAGGTGGTGCTGTGTTAGGATGGAATATGTGGGAATTTAGACCTCTCTGTATCTGGTTATAAACATGTCAGTTATTGTCAGTTCCCGAGCTTGCTTTGGGGCCTCATAATATAACTTAAATAAAATATCATACAATCTTTTTTTTAGCATTTTTGAATGAGTGGTTGCGTCCTGTCATCAAAGGAAATGGGGCAACTCAAATATGAAGTCTGGTCTTTTGAAACCACACAATAGAAAACAGTAAGAGAGGATATCAGCTTACAAAACAAGAATAGAGCACAGAAAATGAAGCTGAAGTTTGCAAGACAGTTTGTCTGAAAACTTATCGATGTAAGAAAAAAATGATGAAATATCCTAGCAAGAAAACTTAGCACACAGTCCTGTACCGTTTTAAACAGGCTTCAGTCAAAAGTAAATATGTTTCTCCAAATCCATCACACACACACATGTACAATAGACCGCGGTATAAATTAAAGGTACATACGGAAGGCACAGAGTCCGTTGGTGAGATGTAGATCGTCTAGGGCGATGTAACCCTGTATGTTGTTTCCGGACTTGGCCTGTATGATGAGCTTGACACCCATGGCAGGGTCTGCCGGAATCGACACGGAGACCTCGTGCCAGCCCTGACCATGATTCCCAGCCTTACTCAACAACATCTGTTCTGGAGAACCGTCACAACTCTGAAGCAAAAATGACGTACTAACCATGAGTCCATGTACCGAATGCCACGAAACAAACTAGTGTTATTTAGTATAAACACAATATACAGGATACGTAACAGTATGTTATCACAAACTTGTCTTTCTGATGTCGATACGGAGCTGAGGAATACAGGGATTTATATGGTCTGTGATTGTGTAATACCTGTCAACTTTACGGAGCTGACGAATACAGGGATTTATATGGTCCGTGATTGTGTAATACATGTCAACTTTACGGAGCTGACGGATACAGGGATTTATATGGTCTGTGATTGTGCAATACATGTCAACTTTACGGAGCTGACGAATACAGAGATTTATATGGTCTGTGATTGTGTAATACATATCAACTTTACGGAGCTGACGAATACAGGGATTTATATGGTCTGTGGTTGTGTAATACATGACAACTTTACGGAGCTGAGGAATACAGGGGTTTATATGGTCTGTTATTGTGTAATACATGACAACTTTACGGAGCTGACGAATACAGGGATTTATATGGTCTGTGATTGTGTAATACATGACAACTTTACGGAGCTGACGAATACAGGGATTTATATGGTCTGTGATTGTGTAATACATGACAACTTTACGGAGCTGACGAATACAGGGATTTATATGGTCTGTGATTGTGTAATACATGACAACTTTACGGAGCTGACGAATACAGGGATTTATATGGTCTGTGATTGTGTAATACATGACAACTTTACGGAGCTGACGAATACAGGGATTTATATGGTCTGTGATTGTGTAATACATGACAACTTTACGGAGCTGACGAATACAGGGATTTATATGGTCTGTGATTGTGTAATACATGACAACTTTACGGAGCTGACGAATACAGGGATTTATATGGTCTGTGATTGTGTAATACATGACAACTTTACGGAGCTGACGAATACAGGGATTTATATGGTCTGTGATTGTGTAATACATGACAACTTTACGGAGCTGACGAATACAGGGATTTATATGGTCTGTGATTGTGTAATACATGACAACTTTACGGAGCTGACGAATACAGGGATTTATATGGTCTGTGATTGTGTAATACATGACAACTTTACGGAGCTGACGAATACAGGGATTTATATGGTCTGTGATTGTGTAATACATGACAACTTTACGGAGCTGACGAATACAGGGATTTATATGGTCTGTGATTGTGTAATACATGACAACTTTACGGAGCTGACGAATACAGGGATTTATATGGTCTGTGATTGTGTAATACATGACAACTTTACGGAGCTGACGAATACAGGGATTTATATGGTCTGTGATTGTGTAATACATGACAACTTTACGGAGCTGACGAATACAGGGATTTATATGGTCTGTGATTGTGTAATACATGACAACTTTACGGAGCTGACGAATACAGGGATTTATATGGTCTGTGATTGTGTAATACATGACAACTTTACGGAGCTGACGAATACAGGGATTTATATGGTCTGTGATTGTGTAATACATGACAACTTTACGGAGCTGACGAATACAGGGATTTATATGGTCTGTGATTGTGTAATACATGACAACTTTACGGAGCTGACGAATACAGGGATTTATATGGTCTGTGATTGTGTAATACATGACAACTTTACGGAGCTGACGAATACAGGGATTTATATGGTCTGTGATTGTGTAATACATGACAACTTTACGGAGCTGACGAATACAGGGATTTATATGGTCTGTGATTGTGTAATACATGACAACTTTACGGAGCTGACGAATACAGGGATTTATATGGTCTGTGATTGTGTAATACATGACAACTTTACGGAGCTGACGAATACAGGGATTTATATGGTCTGTGATTGTGTAATACATGACAACTTTACGGAGCTGACGAATACAGGGATTTATATGGTCTGTGATTGTGTAATACATGACAACTTTACGGAGCTGACGAATACAGGGATTTATATGGTCTGTGATTGTGTAATACATGACAACTTTACGGAGCTGACGAATACAGGGATTTATATGGTCTGTGATTGTGTAATACATGACAACTTTACGGAGCTGACGAATACAGGGATTTATATGGTCTGTGATTGTGTAATACATGACAACTTTACGGAGCTGACGAATACAGGGATTTATATGGTCTGTGATTGTGTAATACATGACAACTTTACGGAGCTGACGAATACAGGGATTTATATGGTCTGTGATTGTGTAATACATGACAACTTTACGGAGCTGACGAATACAGGGATTTATATGGTCTGTGATTGTGTAATACATGACAACTTTACGGAGCTGACGAATACAGAGATTTATATGGTCTGTGATTGTGTAATACATGACAACTTTACGAAAAGCAATCACCACATCTAATCAAACCTGACACGCCAAAGTCAAATCCCCACCTAATGCCTGACACCATCAATGTGTCATTTTACACTTCTATATAAAGTATTGTATCTCAGATCCTTGTATTTGGTGTGCATATTCTGAAGGAGGGTCTTGATCGAAGATGTTAAGCTTATGTAACATAAACGGATATAACTTGATTTAAGGATTGAATTTTTTTTTTTTCACAATGATGATAATAATCAAACATTTTCTATGGAACGCAGTAATCCATTATTGCCAATATTTACAATAACTGTTTTGCACAACATCAGAAATGTTATAAACATATTTTAATCGACATATTTACGATATAAACAAAGCTATTGTTCATTATTTTGCTGTATGTTTTTCTGTCCATGTTTTGCGGGAGCAATGCTTTGCTTTTTGTCATACATTTTAATTTATTGTCACGCTATTATTTAACCCGCCGTATCCTATCTAATTTTATTAACTGAGAGATGGCCATGAGGACCATAATGACATGAATAATACCATCACTAATCACGTGATTTACCTTCATGGAAACAATATTGTGGAGAAAGTCATCTATTCATTAACCAGGCCAAGAATCAAATACAATCTAGAGCATATGCGCAGTGTTAGTTATTTCGTATGTATGCTCAGTGTTAAGAATAATCGTGTGTACATGCGCTGTGTTCAATATAAACTACTCTACATGCGCATTGATAAGTATAATCTAGAGTACAGGGACAGCGTTAGGTACAATCTATTGTACATGCGCAGTGTTGAATATAAACTACTCTACATGCGCAGTGATAAGTATAATCTAGAGAACAGGGACAGCGTTAGGTACATTCTATTGTACATGCGCAGTGATAAGTATAGTTTACCTTTTTGTAGTCCGAATTATTCTGACGTTTTATCGACTTTTTTCATATCGGTCTGTCGTCGATTAACGTCAGAACTCCGGCCCTCTATAATATGCGGGAAATATGCGACCCGCGCCCGGAGCGCATTTCAAACTGATATTTTAGAAACAAATCGTCACTTTCACACACATGTCGCACATGGATCGAAAGATCTTTTCGTTATGCAGTAGGTGGTATCAATAACATGTTTCAAAGATCATTACGAAAAGTATTTTCCAACGTTTTCTATACCAACCCATGTTTTTAATGGGAATTAGGCCATGAGCAATGTCACATGACTTGACGAGATCTCGCGTTACCGAAGGTATGATGTAGGCCGGCGACAGACCGATATGAAAAAAGTCGATAAAACGTCAGAATAATTCGGACTAACCTTTTTGTAGATTTGAAGGCTGCCTGAATTTCTGTCGTCCAGCTTGTACCAAGCTGTGAAGCACTGGTCCTGGTTGGCTGGTACCGTCATCGACTCGATCCGTGAAGTCTGATCAACTAAGGTCGGGGACGATCCTAAATACAGATACTTACCTGTGGCTGAAAAACCCATAATATATCGCAGTCAACAACATAGAAATTACTAATAGATGTTATATGTCCCAGGAAATACGCTTATGAATTCAAAGATATCGACACATGACACAAAGATACACCGACATTGGTTTTGTTCTTCATAATTTTGAAAACGTATTCAGGGAGACTTCTAAGATGGCAATTATCATAACATTTTGTTTGACGACTGCAAAGACATTTCTGTTTGATAGGTAAGTAACAAGGATGAAACGAGTCGAGACTCTTGACAAAACATGTTGTTTCCAGGAACGCTACATAATGAATTGTACCTGTTACGAGCGTGTGGTCAACACTCGGACCTGTTGCGGAGGTTCCGGCTGATCCATAGTTTATCGTCATGTTAATCTTGTTGTCACGTGACTGGGTCCAATGGCAAATAGTCTGACTCTCAAAACTGCATTCCAGCACTTGCAGTGAATCTATGAATAAAGCACTGAACACTGAATCTAAGATTAAATCCTTGTTCAGTTCATAAACAATATCACTCAGTGACCGTAAAACCTTCCTTAGTCACCTGTTATAAGAAGGATACAATTCGCAACAAATAACCTGCATCCAAATACGTGCACGTGGTATCACTTATTCTCACCTGTTGTAGTGACGTCAACACTCTTCGATGCATTGCCATGGCTGTTTGAAGCCACACACATATATTGGCCGATATCGGATGGCTCAAGATTTGATATCGTAAGTATGTTCCCTGAAGTACCATTAACTTTACATCCGGGGTCGTTGATCTTGTACCACGTGACAGCGGAAGGTGGACTTCCGTCTGATAGACAAGTGAGACTAAGACTGCCTCCAATAGTTCCGGGTATGGATTCCTGTGACGTAGATATGTACGGTGCCTCTGAAACAAAATCCACAGTAACTTTACGTGAAGATTGTACACACGCAGTGAAACCTCAATGATAACTTAATTATCCTATTAGGAAAAGGGTAATGGATATTTTAACGGTAGTGCAAATCTATACTTCGGTACGGCGATATCGAGCAGATTCATAGCGGAATATCGACAGTCTGTAATATATTTTAAATTTTATTTTTCATTGTTAATTTTGCATGGATTCAACATCTTCTTCATTTAAAAATATGTTCCTGCATTTTCCTATTTCTCAAAATTTACGTAACCGATTACAGTATTGCGTTTTGGTTATATATGATTAGACGTGCCAACAGCCAAGTTCATTGCTGGATGTGCCTCCATTTGTGTAATGCATGCGTGTATATTATGTGCTAGAGGCAGGGTATGTTGGTGCGATAGCGCAGATCTGATGCCGACTTTATACTGCTATCTCACTGAAATACCATGCCAAAAGCACCCCGCACAACAGTCCGCCCGGTCACATTATACTGACAACGGTTGAACCAGTTGTTGTCATTTCTCTAATTGCTGAACGTTCAGCAGGGATTACAAACTACCATGTTTAAGGACGTTGGTATGTCCCGGCCTGGAGACAGAACCCATGGACTTCCGCGACAGATCAATGTCCTCTTAGGAGACGACACCAACAGAAAAGCATTGAGTCTGTAGGGGGCCGCAGTAGCCCACTCTTACTGAGTCTGTAGGGGGCCGCAGTAGCCCACTCTTATGCAATGGGAATTAACATGTCTCTTATTTTCCCGAAATCGTACAGGGATCGGAGATCAGTGTGGGTAAGTTTTATGAACTAACACTATACTTGTATGACACCAAGTAGAAAGTACCTATACATCCGCACACGGGTCCCGTGTACACAGCAGGGAGACCATGCGGCCCTTGATCACCAGTGTCTCCCTTCATCCCGGAAAGTCCTGAAAGAATTTGGATTATTTCTAAATGTATTATTTGACTTAAAAGTATTGAAACAAAAAATATTGGCAGTTACAGAATATCGCATGCTGATAACTGATGTCGACAGGCTCAGCAAGGTATGCATATTGACAAAAAGCTGTCGTGGTCTGGCCAATCTTTTTCGTCGAATTGCAATTACTCAAGTTATATACAACATAATCAAAGAAGTCCTACCTAAAGCTACACTAATCGTCACAGCTCTCTTACTGTACGTGTGATTGATATTATTCTTTGGAAAAGCCGTCTGCTGAATCGTTCATATTATGTATAGTTTGGGATTTCGTGTTACGTGGTAACATTAATTATCACATTATTGATTTTAATTTCGAAGTCTATTGTGTTACTGTACTGGAACTGTTCGCTATTGTTTTAAACTGTCTGTCCCACTGTACCTCAAAGCGTGACAACACCGCTGATTACAGTAAACAGTCATGAACTTATCACATGAGAGGTGGAAAACACGGCGAACCATGGCTATGGTACATTACCATGAACTCCGTCTGCTCCGGATTTCCCTTTCAGGCCAGGACTTCCCTTCGGTCCTTTCATTCCATTTTCTCCAGTCTCTCCTATGCCGCCTTTTGCACCTGGTGACCCCGTAGCTCCTATGGGACCCAAAAGTCCCTTGGAACCTCTCGTACCAGCTTCACCTTTTAAACCGTGTGGTCCGTTTGTACCTTTCAGCCCCTTGTGTCCCTTGGTACCCGCAGTACCACTGATACCATTGGTCCCCTTTAACCCCGCCGGGCCCTGTATGCCAGCGATACCTGGGGCTCCTGTATCTCCTTTAGCACCAGGAAAACCTGCAAAAAGAAAACTATGGTTCATGACCAGATCAAAACTGAATCACGTGAAACAAAAGTACAGGTCCATATGAAGTGCCAAAGTAAAAAAGAGTCAAGAACAAAGATGCCGAACAATGTGTTATAATTTTTGCATCAAACTTGTTTTCATCACGTTATTTCACGGAACGATAATGACACCACACTAATAATAACGGTAACAATACCCTCTCCGTAAACAATGAATGTTCCCTTAGTCTAACATTTCTCCGAAATCACTGTCTGACCCGGGTGTTTTCTGAAATCAATGTCTGACCCGAGTGTTTTCTAAAATCACTGTCTGACTCAGGTGTTCTCTGAAAACACTGTCTGACTCGGGTGTTTTCTGAAATCACTGTGTGACCCGGGTGTTCTCTGAAATCACCGTCTGACCCAGGTGTTTTCTGAAATCACTGTCTGACCCGGGTGTTCTCTAAAATCACTATCTGACCCGGGTGTTCTCTGATTTCGCTGTCTGACCCGGGTGTTCTCTAAAATCACTGCCTGACCCGGGTGTTCTCTAAAATCACTGTCTGCCCAGGTGTTCTCTGAAATCACTGTCTCACCCGGGTGTTCTCTGAAATCTCTGACTCAGGTGTTTTCTGAAAACACTGTCTGCCCCGGGTGTTCTCTGAAAACCCTGTCTGCCCAGGTGTTCTCTGAAATCACTGTCTGACCCGGGTGTTCTCTGAAATCACCGTCTGACCCGGGTGTTCTCTGAAATCACCGTCTGGCCCAGGTGTTTTCTGAAATCACTGTCTGACCCGGGGGTTCTCTGATTTCACTGTCTGACCCAGGTGTTCTCTGAAATCACTGTCTCACCCGGGTGTTCTCTGAAATCTCTGACTCAGGTGTTTTCTGAAAACACTGTCTGACCCGGGGGTTCTCTGAAATCACTGTCTGACCCGGGTGTTCTCTAAAATCACTATCTGACCGGGGTGTTCTCTGATTTCGATGTCTGACCCGGGTGTTCTCTGAAATCACTGTCTGACCCGGGTGTTTTCTAAAAACACTGTCTGCCCAGGTGTTATCTGATTTCACTGTCTGGCCCAGGTGTTTTCTAAAAACACTGTCTGACCCGGGTGTTTTCTAAAATCACTGCCTGACCCGGGTGTTCTCTAAAATCACTGTCTGACCCGGGTGTTCTCTGATTTCGATGTCTGACACGGGTGTTCCCTAAAATCACTGTCTGACCCGGGTGTTCTCTGAAAACACTGTCTGCCCAGGTGTTCTCTGATTTAACTGTCTGACCCGGGTGTTCTATGAAAACACTGTCTGCCAAGGTGTTCTCTGAAATCACTGTCTGACCCGGGTGTTCTCTAAAATCACTGCCTGACCCGTGACCCGGGTGTTTTCTGAAACTGTTTCGGGTGTTCTCTTATTTCACTGTCTGACCAGGGTGTTCTCTAAAATCACTGTCTGACCCGGGTGTTCTCTGATTTAACTGTCTGACTCACGTGTTTTCTAAAAACACTGTCTGACCCGGGTGTCTTCTGAAAACACTGTCTGACCCGGGTGTTCTCTGAAAACACTGTCTGACCCGGGTGTTTTCTGAAAACACTGTCTGCCCAGGTGTTCTCTGATTTCACTGTCTGACCCGGGTGTTCTCTAAAATCACTGTCTGACCCGGGTGTTCTCTAAAATCACTGCCTGACCCGGGTGTTCTCTNTTTTTCTGAAAACACTGTCTGACCCGGCTGTTCTCTGATTTCACTATCTGACCCAGGTGTTTTCTGAAAACACTGTCTGACCAGGGTGTTCTCTAAAATCACTGTCTGACCCGGGTGTTCTCTGGAATCACTGTCTGACCCGGGCGTTTTCTGAACTCAATGTCTGACTAGGGTGTTCTCTGAAATCACTGTCTGGCCAGGGTGTTTTTCTGAAATCACTGCCTGACCAGGGTGTTCTCTAAAATCACACTCTAACCAGGGGGTTCTCTGAAATCACTGTCTGACCCGGGTGATTTCTGAAATCACTGTCTGACCCGGGTGTTTTCTTAAATCACTGTCTGACCCGGGTGTTTTCTGATAACACTGTCTGCCCAGGTGTTCTTTGATTTCACTGTCTGACCCAGGTGTTTTCTGAAAACACTGTCTGACCAGGGTGTTCTCTAAAATCACTGCCTGACCCGGGTGGTCTCTGAAATCACTGTCTGACCCGGGTGTCTTCTGAAATCACTGTCTGACCCGGGTGTTCTCTAAATTCACTGCCTGACCCGGGTGTTCTCTGAAACCACTGTCTGACCCGGGTGTTTTCTGAAAACACTGTCTGACCCGGGTGATTTCTGAAAACACTGTCTGACCCGGGTGTTTTCTGAAATCATTGTTTGACCCGGGTGTTTTCTGAAATCATTGTTTGACCCGGGTGTTTTCTGAAATCATTGTTTGACCCGGGTGTTTTCTGAAATCATTGTTTGACCCGGGTGTTTTCTGAAATCACTGTCTTACCCGGGTGTTTTCTGAAATCACTGTCTGGCCCGGGTGTTTTCTGAAATCACTGTCTGAACCGGGTGTTTTCTGAAATCACTGTCTGACCAGGGTGTTTTTCTGAAATCACTGCCTGACCAGGGTGTTCTCTAAAATCACACTCTAACCAGGGTGTTCTCTGAAATCACTGTCTGACCCGGGCGTTTTCTGAAATCACTGTCTGACCCGGGTTTTTTCTGAAAACACTGTCTGGCCCGGCTGTTCTCTGATTTCACTATCTGACCCAGGTGTTTTCTGAAAACACTGTCTGACCAGGGTGTTCTCTAAAATCACTGCCTGACCCGGGTGTTCTCTAAAATCACACTCTAACCAGGGTGTTCTCTGAAATCACTGTCTGACCAGGTGTTCTCTGATATCACTGTCTGACCCAAGATCACTGTCTGACCCGGGTGTTCTCTTATTTCACTGTCTGACCCGGGTGTTCTCTGATTTCACTGTCTGACCCAGGTGTTTTCTGAAAACACTGTCTGACCAGGGTGTTCTCTAAAATCACTGCCTGACCCGGGTGGTCTCTGAAATCACTGTCTGACCAGGGGGTTTTTCTGAAATCACTGCCTGACCCGGGTGTTCTCTAAAATCACTGCCTTACCCGGGTGTTCTCTAAAATCACTGTCTGACCCGGGTGTTCTCTTATTTCACTGTCTGACCCGGGTGTTCTCTGATTTCGATGTCTGACCCGGGTGTTCTCTAAAATCACTATCTGACCCGGGTGTTCTCTGAAAACACTGTCTGCCCAGTTGTTCTCTGATTTAACTGTCTGACCCGGGTGTTTTCTGAAATCATTGTTTGACCCGGGTGTTTTCTGAAATCACTGTCTTACCCGGTTGTTTTCTGAAATCACTGTCTGACCCGGGTGCTTTCTGAAATCACTGTCTGACCCGGGTGTGTTCTGAAATCACTGTCTGACCCGGGTGTGTTCTGAAATCACTGTCTGACCCGGGTGTTCTCTAAAATCACTGTCTGACCCGGGTGTTCTCTAAATTCACTGCCTGACCCGGGTGTTCTCTGAAACCACTGTCTGACCCGGGTGTTTTCTGAAAACACTGTATGACCCGGGTGTTTTATGAAAACACTGTCTGACCCGGGTGTTTTCTGAAAACACTGTATGACCCGGGTGTTTTATGAAAACACTGTCTGACCCGGGTGTTTTCTGAAATCACCGTCTGACCCGGGTGTTTTCTGAAATCACTATCTGACCCGGGTGTTTTCTGAAATCACTGCCTGACCCGGGTGTTCGCTAAAATAACACTCGAACCAGGGTGTTCTCTGAAATCACTGTCTGAACCGGGTGTTTTCTGAAATCACTGTCTGACCAGGGTGTTTTTCTGAAATCACTGCCTGACCAGGGTGTTCTCTAAAATCACACTCTAACCAGGGGGTTCTCTGAAATCACTGTCTGACCCGGGTGCTTTCTGAAATCACTGTCTGACCCGGGTGTGTTCTGAAATCACTGTCTGACCCGGGTGTGTTCTGAAATCACTGTCTGACCCGGGTGTGTTCTGAAATCACTGTCTGACCCGGGTGTGTTCTGAAATCACTGTCTGACCCGGGTGTTTTCTGAAATCAATGTCTGACTAGGGTGTTCTCTGAAATCACTGTCTGACCAGGGTGTTTTTCTGAAATCACTGCCTGACCCGGGTGTTCTCTAAAATCACACTCTAACCAGGGTGTTCTCTGAAATCACTGTCTGACCCGGGTGTTTTCTGAAATCATTGTTTGACCCGGGTGTTTTCTGAAATCACTGTCTTACCCGGGTGTTTTCTGAAATCACTGTCTGACCCGGGTGTTCTCTGAAATTACTGTCTACCCCGGGTGTTCTCTGAGTGCCACCATATTTTATAATAGGCAGGTGTTTTTATAAGGAGATATATAACAGAGAGGGCAATACCGTTTCTCATAAACTGCTTCTTTTTTTTTAAACTTTTCATGGAAAAACCAATGTGGGAAGCCCACAAGTTTTATATTTGTTCTTGTGCCCTTCATCAGGGGAATCAATTGCAAACCAAAAAACATCTGCCGAATTTATTTTAAAGTACAATGCTTGAAAAACATATACAATAATTTGTGTACATTCTTTTTTGCATCAGATATTTTTAAGTTTTAAATAAGACACTATCCGGCTCGGATATTATATTTTTATAGATTATTGTTACTCTATCGAAGGTACATGTACACCGGACACATCCTGAATACATATGACAGCGAGGACAATGGTAGTTCTCACCTGTAATGTAGTTCCCTATACACTCTCTAACCATACATAGTTCCAGTTAATACCAGGGTTTTCACTATATATACACTCTCTAACCATACATAGTTCCAGTTATACCAGGGTTTTCACTATATATACACTCTCTAACCTTACATAGTTCCAGTTAATACCAGGGTTTTCAGTATATATACACTCTCTAACCTTACATAGTTCCAGTTATACCAGGGTTTTCACTATATATACACTCTCTAACCTTACATAGTTCCAGTTAATACCAGGGTTTTCACTATATATACACTCTCTAACCTTACATAGTTCCAGTTATACCAGGGTTTTCACTATATATACACTCTCTAACCTTACATAGTTCCAGTTAATACCAGGGTTTTCACTATATATACACTCTCTAACCTTACATAGTTCCAGTTAATACCAGGGTTTTCACTATATATACACTCTCTAACCTTACATAGTTCCAGTTAATACCAGGGTTTTCACTATATATACACTCTCTAACCTTACATAGTTCCAGTTAATACCAGGGTTTTCACTATATATACACTCTCTAACCTTACATAGTTCCAGTTAATACCAGGGTTTTCACTATATATACACTCTCTAACCTTACATAGTTCCAGTTAATACCAGGGTTTTCACTATATATACACTCTCTAACCTTACATAGTTCCAGTTAATACCAGGGTTTTCACTATATATACACTCTCTAACCTTACATAGTTCCAGTTAATACCAGGGTTTTCACTATATATACACTCTCTAACCTTACATAGTTCCAGTTAATACCAGGGTTTTCACTATATATACACTCTCTAACCTTACATAGTTCCAGTTAATACCAGGGTTTTCACTATATATACACTCTCTAACCTTACATAGTTCCAGTTAATACCAGGGTTTTCACTATATATACACTCTCTAACCTTACATAGTTCCAGTTAATACCAGGGTTTTCACTATATATACACTCTCTAACCTTACATAGTTCCAGTTAATACCAGGGTTTTCACTATATATACACTCTCTAACCTTACATAGTTCCAGTTAATACCAGGGTTTTCACTATATATACACTCTCTAACCTTACATAGTTCCAGTTAATACCAGGGTTTTCACTATATATACACTCTCTAACCTTACATAGTTCCAGTTAATACCAGGGTTTTCACTATATATACACTCTCTAACCTTACATAGTTCCAGTTAATACCAGGGTTTTCACTATATATACACTCTCTAACCATACATAGTTCCAGTTAATACCAGGTTTTTCACTATATATACACTCTCTAACCTTACATAGTTCCAGTTAATACCAGGGTTTTCACTATATATACACTCTCTAACCTTACATAGTTCCAGTTAATACCAGGATTTTCACTATATATACAGTCTCTAACCATACATAGTTCCAGTTAATACCAGGTTTTTCACTATATATACCCTCTCTAACCATACATAGTTCCAGTTAATACCAGGGTTTTCACTATATATACACTCTCTAACCTTACATAGTTCCAGTTAATACCAGGTTTTTCACTATCTATATACTCTCTAACCTTACATAGTTCCAGTTAATACCAGGGTTTTCACTATATATACACGTTCTAACCTTACATAGTTCCAGTTAATACCAGGATTTTCACTATATATACCCTCTCTAACCATACAAAGTTCCAGTTAATACCAGGTTTTTCACTATATATACACTCTCTAACCTTACATAGTTCCAGTTAATACCAGGTTTTTCACTATATATACCCTCTCTTACCATACATAGTTCCAGTTAATACCAGGGTTTTCACTATATATACCCTCTCTAACCTTTCATAGTTCAGTTTATACCAGGGTTTTCACTATATATACACTCTGTAACCTTTCATAGTTCAGTTAATACCAGGGTTTTCACTATACATACAGTCTCCTCATGTCATGTTAAGAACTTTTTCAAAATGTGTGAAGACATCCGACATATGACCTTTGTCTCCCTTGGTACCGGGATCTCCGATATCTCCTATAACAAAAACAACGACCGAACGTATCAAATGCATCCACTTGAATTTTATTATAATAAATGCATTTAGATTTTTAATAACAAATCTAAACTTTCAGTGGCGGATCCAGAGACCTATCTGGGGGTGGGGTTCCAAATTTCCTGGGNCTTTGTTAACATGCAATTGTATAGAAACAATTACTACATACAAATGTGTTAAAAAAATATGCCATACTAATTTTCAGAAACGATCATTAAATACAAATGTTAACACCTTAAATATCACGACGAAGCTTAAGTTTAACTTTATTTCTGAAATAGACTTGATTTTCTGATATTCCTACCACGGAATTAGTCCGTGTTCATACATAACAAAAATATGACCAATTCGTTCAACTTACCTGAAAGGCAGATTTTGACGTCCCCTGAACACTTCTGAATTAGCTGCTGTTCCTAAAACGAAATAAAAATGATTAACTATCACACGTGCTGTCCCCGAATACATTATGGAATAGTGGACAACCACTCCTTATATCGATAGACCAATGAATTCAACTTGTCCTTTCCTTACAAATATGTGAGACGACAAATGCCATATTGTTTCTTGTTGAACAATTAGTAACATTGAATGATAGTGAGATCCGACGATCTAAATCCCCGCCCCTCCCCGATGAACTGAACAAAACTCTTAATTTGTACATCAGAACTTCGCTGAACTTCTTTTCTGTCTTTTTATCTCTGTGTGTGTTACATTGGACTTTCTCAGCTTACAATTAAAGTCAGTCCAGTGAATCTGATACATTACCTGAGCTTGTAGAACGCTTGACATCAGAGAAGACACCGAAGTGGTCTGCCGTGAGTTTACAAGCTTCCAGGTGACATCGAAGGTAGCATTTTTCCTGGCAAGTTCATCAAGTGAGCGTTTAAATAAGTGCTGGAATGTATGACGACATACCGATTTTAGTGGTACATGGTTTATTGCAGAACCTGCAGACTATGGAAGGTAAATAACATGTTTAAGATACAAGCCTTCGTCCGTTACTTCTAGTCCAATGTTATATATACCCCTACATTGAGGCTACGGGGAAGATGTTGTGCTTTTTAATGCAAATCAATGATTTAACCAGTGAAACCCGAAACAATTAATAACTCCATACAAAACAGGTGTTATTTCAAAAATCTTCAACCATTTCTCTCGTTTCTTTGCAAATGTTGGTCAAATGAAATGAACAACAAAGTTCATTGTTGAAAACGAACCAGGTGCTGAGCAGCGTCAAAAATTCTTATTTATGATTCCAACCCAATATGGTTTCAGTAAGAAGGTCGCCCTTCATGTATTTAACGTCTTATTTATGATGCCAACCCAATATGGTTTCAGTAAGAAGGCCGCCCTTCATGTATTTAACAAAACAATGTGATATAAAAGTCCGTGACACCATTAAACACGTACCAGGGAGTGTTGGCCATGGCGGGCTGTCCCACACGTGTTCACAAGGTCGGCGATATCTGCCCGCCGTACAGACAAGTTCTGCTCCAACTCACGCACATGACGAAACTGCAGAACCGTGACGGCTACAAACGCTGACACATGGAGCGTGACGAATAGTAAGGCGAGGATTGAGGGAAGTCTACCCGCGGAGTGGTTCTCTGTCACCATGGTCCGTACCTATAGCTACCGAAGCTTATCTCTAGAAAACTATAACAGACAGTCTAGTCGTAGACATCTGGATTGATGTCACCTCTTGTACAGCCGGTCTATTTATAACAACCAATAAGGTCACAGTGTAGATAATGAAGTAAAATCATTAATTGCATTGTCTAAATTATAATTTGTACAGTCATATTTTCATCTAGATTTTATACTAAACAGAAGGAATGTTAATCAAATGAATTTTTAGTCTTACTTATTTCAATTTTATTCCAAATAAGTTAATTTATAAAAATAATAAATGTGCTTTGAAAAGTGTTTTTCTACAACTCTGCCTTTTACGCCATTGTGCTCTGATAAAAGCAACAAGGGCAAACATGGCCATTAATTAAAATACTTTAATGATAATTAGTAGAGTCACAAAAGAGTGTTGAGTTTGCATTGGGAAACTTTCACTTCAAATATCACAGCAGACAGCGGGCTCATATCACGGCGTGTGACCTGACATGATAAGCCTTGTATTGTCCTGATCTAGAAGTTAGATAAGGACGTAAGATGGCGGACTACCAAACCTCTCCCTGGTTCTCCACACTGGTCGTACTAACTTGTGTGCACACATTCTCGTTTGTAGCGGTGACCATTGTCCAGTTCAGCAATCTCCGTGAGGTTGACATTCTGGACAGCGCGTTAAAAACAGGACTTCAGGTACGATGTGTTCCTTGTGATGTCTCTGTTGACTTGGACGATGTGTTCCTAAATGTGATGTCTCTGTTGACTTTGACGATGTGTTCCTAATTGTGATGTCCCTGTTGACTTTGACGATGTGTTCCTTGTGATGTCTCTCTTGACTTTGAAGATGTGTTCCTTGTGATGTCTCTGTTGACTTTGAAGATGTGTTCCTTGTGATGTCTCTGTTGACTTTGACGATGTGTTCCTAATTGTGATGTCCCTATTGACTTTGACGATGTGTTTCTTGTGATGTCTCTGTTGACTTTGACGATGTGTTCCTTGTGATGTCTCTGTTGACTTTGAAGA